TGTGTGTGTGTGTGTGTGTGTGTGTGTGTGTGTGTGTGTGTGTGTGTGTGTGTGTGTACTCATGGGGGGAGGCGACCCCCCCCACCTTGTATCAATCAATCAATCAATCAATCAATCAATCAAAAAGAAAAGAAAAAGAAAAAAGGCCGCGCCCGTGTATGTGTGTGTGTGTGTGTGTGTGTGTGTGTGTGTGTGTGTGTGTGTGTGTGTGTGTACAAGTTGGGGGGAGGCGACCCCCCCCACCTCATATCAATCAATCAATCAATCAATTAATCAATCAATCAATCAATCAACCAATCAATCAATCAATCAACCAATCAATCAACCAATCAACCAATCAATCAATCAATCAATCAATCAACCAATCAATCAACCAATCAATCAATCAATCAATCAATCATTCAATCAATCAATCAATAAATCAACCAATAGATTAATCAATCAAATTTTTTTTTTTTTTTACCCCCGGGACCGAAAAATATATATATATTTTTTTTGTTTTGTTTTTTTGAATGGGGGGGTACCCCCTGACACCCGACCCCCCCCCAGCCCATCCACCCCCTCAACACCCCCCCGGAAGGCCACGTACAGAGGGCCCAAAGTCCGTACGTACGGGTCGTATGGGTGCCGGGGGACCCGTACGTACGGACATCCAGACGTACGGACGGGCCGTATTCGTATGGCCGTATTCGTAGCAGTGCGACACACGAAGTGTTCCATTGTAGTCGGGTATATCCGACAGGCGCACAAGGGTGGGACCGTTGCGATGACGATGAGGGGAGAGAGGCTGATGGGCCTGCATTGTGGCGACAAATGTCGGCGCCAGTGCAGGGGTGGAAGTGGTGGTAGGCTGTAAGCCGGAGCTGCTGGTGGAAGGTCTAGTAGAGGTGGAGGCAACGGTCACAGCCAACTGTGACAGGGTGGCGAGGTAGGAGGGTAGAGGGGGGGGAGTCGGTCGAGCGAAACGAGCCGGCAAGACAGAGGTGGGAGGGGCGGTATAAGAAGAAGAAAGGTGAGCAGCTTGTGAAGGGTGAAGTTGTCTTAGGGAGAGAATCTACGCCTGGAGCTGCATGATGGTGGCCTGCAAAGTAGCCACTCGTTGGGTGCGCGGGGTCGGAGGTGGAGGAGGCGGAGAGGGTACCCTAGCAGGAAGAGGAGTAACGAACTGCAGGGGACCGTGAGGTGGGAGTGAGGAGAGGATGGGAGGAGGGAGGACTCCGGTCCGTAGTGTCGAGATCGAAGCGGGAAGCTGGTGAGCCATATCGGGAAGAGTAGATAAAACTGTATGGCCAGATACCGGTATCTGGGCAGCAGCACCGATGGTAGTGGCCGAAGCGGCAGGAGCAGCAGGGGGCGACGGGTGTGTCTCAACAAATGGTATGGTCTGAGCGGCGGCATCACTCACCACTGCGAAGGGGGAGTGTTGAGCCCAACCCGGGGAGGAGGATGAACCACCACGTCTCCGTCTCTGGAGTCGTAGAGAGCTGGACTGTGAGCCGGTAGGGGATGGATTATGAGAGCGGTGGGGAGAGCGATGAGGAGAACCCTTGAGGCGGTGAACTTCAAGGGCGAGCGCATTGACTTGCCCCTCTAGGGGTGCAAGCTCCTCGAGTCGCGCTTGCAAAGGTGCAAGGAGGGACACAAAAACAGCACGAAGTTTCATGGGGTCCACAGGGTTTTGACCCTGGACCGTCGGGTGGGTGGGCGCCTGGGAGACGGAGGGCGCCGCGACAATCTCCTCAACTGTAGCCTCTTTCGTGGGTAGTGGACGTATGGGGGCAGACATGGCGGGAGGTGGAGAAAGAGGTGAGGAAAGAGATGGGTTGTGGCATGGGGATAGCGGACCACCAGTGAGAGGGAGGGGACCGCGGGAGCGGAGTGGGTAGTCGTGAGTCGGCTCGCCCCGTGACCAGCAGATCGCGCGTGAGATGGTGGAGCGAATCCGGTCGAGGGAAGAGGAGCCGTTTGGGTCAAGGTTGCCCGACGGGATGAGGCGGGAGAGGAGGGGGGTTAGGAGAACCCTAAACCCTTGAAAAGCCCTAAGAAAACCCTAACCGGAGTTTTAGTGGTTAGGGTAGGGTAGTGGCGACCTAATAAAAAAAAGAAAATAGCAACTGCGGAGGGGGGGGGAAAGAGAAATAAATAAACATTGAAATTTCGAGATAAAAATAAAAGAAAATAAATAATAAAAATGTGAGGAACGAGCCCTCAGACGGGGCCTAGCCGACATGCATATGTTCTGGGCATAGGCCCCCAGCAAGCCATGTGCCCGCCCTAAGTGAAGGCGGGCCTGCCTGTGACCGCCCTAAGTGAAGGCTGGTCCGAATATCCACGTACAGACCGTTCTTTCAACATTTCTGTAAAGTGGGTATCCGACGGTTGCAGCACGCCAGTTGGTTGGTGTGCATCGTGGATCCCAGACTCCTGCGTGAAGCAGTTGAGCCCAGGGCCTCAGCTGGTTGAGCCCTGGGCACAGGCCAGGAGGCCGACACATCACACATTGGACGCTGGCCAATCAGAAAGCAGCATTGTCGTAGTAAGGCCGAGCGTACCAATGTGGAAACTGGGAAATGTCT